TCCCCCTCCCCCCCCCCAACCCTTCTTTTCACTACTCTATCTCTACAGATGGTTTTTGGTTGAACGAAAAGGGTCTGGGACAAGCTTAGGTCAACTTCTTCATCATTTTGGCTTGTGCGGTCAGAAAGGACACACAGAAATAAAGTGAATGTAATTGGGGTCAAGGGATTTCATGACGGGATTTCATGAAGGGATCATCCCGTATTTATACACCAGAAAGCCTGGGATCGAAGAGATCAGCATGAGATCGATTTTATAACGCCTTAAATAATGAGTGGTTTCCTTGGTGTGTGGAGGTGGGTGGGGGTGGGGGAAGTGGTAGGTGTAGGGGAAGTGGTGGGTGTGGGGGAAGTGGTAGGTGTGGGGGAAGTGGTAGGGATGGGGGAAGTAGTAGGTGTAAGGGAAGTGGTAGGGGTGGGGGAAGTGGTAGGGATGGGGGAAGTGGTAGGTGTGGGGGAAGTGGTAGGGGTGGGGGAAGTGGTAGGTGTGGGGGAAGTGGTAGGGGAGGGGGGAGTGGTAGGAATGGGGGAAGTGGTAGGTGTAAGGGAAGTGGTAGGTGTGGGGGAAGTGGTAGGGGTGGGGCAAGTGGTAGGTGTAAGGGAAGTGGTAGGTGTGGGGGAAGTGGTAGGGGTGGGGGAAGTGGTAGGGGTGGGGTGCTGTTCGTATATCAGGTGTGAAGCTATCTATTTGCAGCTATGTTGTTCATACATTGCTAAAATCAAACATACACTTTGCTTTATTTTTAACCATAGAATCAACAAATGACGGTTACCGGAAATTAGTACTACGACACCAAATTGATGAAACCAATTTGTTGTAGGAAGGAATGTCAGACAAACGGAAATGATTTTTGTTAAAAAAAAAATTTTAAGGGAATGTGCGAGTGAGAAATAAGAAAAGTAGGAACTTTTTTAATAAAATGTATTTTGTTAGTTGGTTTTTTCTCTCTCCATCCTTGTGAACTAACTTCCTTGTGAACTAACTTCCTTGTGAACTAACTTCCTTGTGAACTAACTTCCTTGTGAACTAACTTCCTTGTGAACTAACTTCCTTGTGAACTAACTTCCTTGTGAACTAACTTCCTTGTGAACTAACTTCCTTGTGAACTAACTTCCTTGTGAACTAACTTCCTTGTGAACTAACTTCCTTGTGAACTAACTTCCTTGTGAACTAACTTCCTTGTGAACTAACTTCCTTGTGAACTAACTTCCTTGTGAACTAACTTCCTTGTGAACTAACTTCCTTGTGAACTAACTTCCTTGTGAACTAACTTCCTTGTGAACTAACTTCCTTGTGAACTAACTTCCTTGTGAACTAACTTCCTTGTGAACTAACTTCCTTGTGAACTAACTTCCTTGTGAACTAACTTCCTTGTGAACTAACTTCCTTGTGAACTAACTTCCTTGTGAACTAACTTCCTTGTGAACTAACTTCCTTGTGAACTAACTTCCTTGTGAACTAACTTCCTTGTGAACTAACTTCCTTGTGAACTAACTTCCTTGTGAACTAACTTCCTTGTGAACTAACTTCCTTGTGAACTAACTTCCTTGTGAACTAACTTCCTTGTGAACTAACTTCCTTGTGAACTAACTTCCTTGTGAACTAACTTCCTTGTGAACTAACTTCCTTGTGAACTAACTTCCTTGTGAACTAACTTCCTTGTGAACTAACTTCCTTGTGAACTAACTTCCTTGTGAACTAACTTCCTTGTGAACTAACTTCCTTGTGAACTAACTTCCTTGTGAACTAACTTCCTTGTGAACTAACTTCCTTGTGAACTAACTTCCTTGTGAACTAACTTCCTTGTGAACTAACTTCCTTGTGAACTAACTTCCTTGTGAACTAACTTCCTTGTGAACTAACTTCCTTGTGAACTAACTTCCTTGTGAACTAACTTCCTTGTGAACTAACTTCCTTGTGAACTAACTTCCTTGTGAACTAACTTCCTTGTGAACTAACTTCCTTGTGAACTAACTTCCTTGTGAACTAACTTCCTTGTGAACTAACTTCCTTGTGAACTAACTTCCTTGTGAACTAACTTCCTTGTGAACTAACTTCCTTGTGAACTAACTTCCTTGTGAACTAACTTCCTTGTGAACTAACTTCCTTGTGAACTAACTTCCTTGTGAACTAACTTCCTTGTGAACTAACTTCCTTGTGAACTAACTTCCTTGTGAACTAACTTCCTTGTGAACTAACTTCCTTGTGAACTAACTTCCTTGTGAACTAACTTCCTTGTGAACTAACTTCCTTGTGAACTAACTTCCTTGTGAACTAACTTCCTTGTGAACTAACTTCCTTGTGAACTAACTTCCTTGTGAACTAACTTCCTTGTGAACTAACTTCCTTGTGAACTAACTTCCTTGTGAACTAACTTCCTTGTGAACTAACTTCCTTGTGAACTAACTTCCTTGTGAACTAACTTCCTTGTGAACTAACTTCCTTGTGAACTAACTTCCTTGTGAACTAACTTCCTTGTGAACTAACTTCCTTGTGAACTAACTTCCTTGTGAACTAACTTCCTTGTGAACTAACTTCCTTGTGAACTAACTTCCTTGTGAACTAACTTCCTTGTGAACTAACTTCCTTGTGAACTAACTTCCTTGTGAACTAACTTCCTTGTGAACTAACTTCCTTGTGAACTAACTTCCTTGTGAACTAACTTCCTTGTGAACTAACTTCCTTGTGAACTAACTTCCTTGTGAACTAACTTCCTTGTGAACTAACTTCCTTGTGAACTAACTTCCTTGTGAACTAACTTCCTTGTGAACTAACTTCCTTGTGAACTAACTTCCTTGTGAACTAACTTCCTTGTGAACTAACTTCCTTGTGAACTAACTTCCTTGTGAACTAACTTCCTTGTGAACTAACTTCCTTGTGAACTAACTTCCTTGTGAACTAACTTCCTTGTGAACTAACTTCCTTGTGAACTAACTTCCTTGTGAACTAACTTCCTTGTGAACTAACTTCCTTGTGAACTAACTTCCTTGTGAACTAACTTCCTTGTGAACTAACTTCCTTGTGAACTAACTTCCTTGTGAACTAACTTCCTTGTGAACTAACTTCCTTGTGAACTAACTTCCTTGTGAACTAACTTCCTTGTGAACTAACTTCCTTGTGAACTAACTTCCTTGTGAACTAACTTCCTTGTGAACTAACTTCCTTGTGAACTAACTTCCTTGTGAACTAACTTCCTTGTGAACTAACTTCCTTGTGAACTAACTTCCTTGTGAACTAACTTCCTTGTGAACTAACTTCCTTGTGAACTAACTTCCTTGTGAACTAACTTCCTTGTGAACTAACTTCCTTGTGAACTAACTTCCTTGTGAACTAACTTCCTTGTGAACTAACTTCCTTGTGAACTAACTTCCTTGTGAACTAACTTCCTTGTGAACTAACTTCCTTGTGAACTAACTTCCTTGTGAACTAACTTCCTTGTGAACTAACTTCCTTGTGAACTAACTTCCTTGTGAACTAACTTCCTTGTGAACTAACTTCCTTGTGAACTAACTTCCTTGTGAACTAACTTCCTTGTGAACTAACTTCCTTGTGAACTAACTTCCTTGTGAACTAACTTCCTTGTGAACTAACTTCCTTGTGAACTAACTTCCTTGTGAACTAACTTCCTTGTGAACTAACTTCCTTGTGAACTAACTTCCTTGTGAACTAACTTCCTTGTGAACTAACTTCCTTGTGAACTAACTTCCGTATGAACTAAATTCCTTGTGAACTAACTTCCTTGTGAACTAACTTCCTTGTGAACTAACTTCCGTATGAACTAAATTCCGTGGGAATTAACTTCCTGATGAACTTACATCCGTATGAACTAACTTCCTTGTGAACTAACTTCCTTGTGAACTAACTTCCTTGTGAACTAACTTCCTTGTGAACTAACTTCCTTGTGAACTAACTTCCTTGTGAACTAACTTCCTTGTGAACTAACTTCCGTATGAACTAAATTCCTTGTGAACTAACTTCCTTGTGAACTAACTTCCTTGTGAACTAACTTCCGTATGAACTAAATTCCGTGGGAATTAACTTCCTGATGAACTTACATCCGTATGAACTAACTTCCGTGGGAATTAACTGGTTTCTTTCTTATAACCTGATACGCACTATTACATTCTATGACGTGTGCAATATTATGTCCTTGCGATCATTGCACACATCGTATGCCTCTAGCTTGCTAAGTCGTGACACTCAAATGTGTGCCATTAACTAACACATATATTCTGGCGAGGGTCTGAGATTACGCTCGTATGACCCCGGCAAGTACATTGGCTACCAACTCTATGTGCTGAGCTGAGCCATACAAAATGTTCCTCATGTATGGCCCTCCAGCCGCCCTGGCTTCTCCCGGAACATCTAGTGAGTGGCATTCGGTCAACAGGTGCACTAGTGATTCCGGGACCAGGCTGCAATGCCGGCAGGTAGGGTCCCTGATTTTATCTATTCGCCAGAAGTATCTGCCAATGGGCCCTAACCCACAGCATGGTTTCTGTCTGCTAGGAGTGGGCAAGTTTGAAAAAAATACCTCTGGCGGTCGTGTTGTCAGCCCATTGCCTGTACCCCTTCGTCCTGAAGTGTTCTGCCAGCCAGTTCTTTATTCCAAAATACGTTATTTGTACTTCTGACTGAGCCTGGACAGCCCCGGTTTTCGCCAAAGAGTCCACTTTCTCTTTGCCACTGACGTTGACGTTACCTTGATCATTAGATGGCTCGACCAAGATGTTGCAATGGGACAATATAGTGATCTAATGATTCTCAGAAAGGGAATTTCTAAACTAGATAATGAATCGCCAAAAATATAAAATAGTGAATACCTCTCCAAATAAACTCATTCCCCCAACTCAGTGGCAAAATATCAACTCCAATCATCTAAACAATGACCCATTAATTCCTAACCTGTCAAATTATTACCATTCTCAGACGACATTGAGTCCATCGGTCTTCTCCCTGACCACACAGCCCTCGCCGCATGAGGAGGTGTGCTGCAGCGGTGTGCTGGGATACGCCTCTGATAACATTTCGTTCAACTACCCATGCCAGGGTCACCCCTGCTGCAACAACAGTGAAACTGTGGCCGTTGTTTCCATAGACTACGCCATGGGTTTCAAGTTCCAGTGTATGGTGAGTACATTTTGAAGGCATTGGTCACTTTAAGAACACTCATCTACAGTAAATAGGACGTCACTTTAGTGTATGGGGAGGACATGGGATGTTTGGTCTTTTGAGTTCAATTACATAGGTTGTATTTAGAGAATTTAAGTCACTTAAGCTAAAGGGACAATTATTAACGTTTAACGTCACGTTTATTAACGTATGTCACTTGAGTTCTAGAGTATGGTGAGGTCATTAAGTAACTTGAGCCACATTGTATGGTCAGGTCATTAGGTCACTTGAGCCACATTATATGGTGAGGTCATTAGGTCATTTGAGCCACATTGTATGGTGAGGTCATTAGGTCACTTGAGCCACATTCTATGGTGAGGTCACTAGGTCACTTGAGCCATATTGTATGGAGAACTCATTAGGAGGTCATTTGAACCACATTGCTAGATGAGGCTTTTAGGACACTGAAGCCCCATTGTATGGGGAGGTCATTAAGCCACTTGAGCCACATTGTATTGTGAGGTCATGAGGTCACTTGATCCACATTGTATGTTGAGGTTTACGCACTGGCTTCTATTGTGAGAAATTAATCTCCTATTTTAATTTTATGGCTCTTTCAAACAGTGCATAACAAAGGACGATCCCATAGAAATACAATAACAAAAATACGACACAGAAAACATTACAATTAATAAAATTTAATTTAGTAATAATACAAATATAAAAAAAAAGAAATATAATTACAAATCATTGTAACGGTACACAGTTAGTACAATGAGCCAATTAATAATGTACAATGACGAAATGCGAATAAACACATATATAAGAACACAAAGAATAATACACGTCTCGTAAAGTTACAAATATATATCTGAATCTGTCTCTGTCAATCCTTTTGATATGTGGATCTAACGACGAGTTCAGAAACGCCCTTAGTTTTCTAATACAATCGAGAAAGTTTCATAAGATACTAGTAAACATACTAGCCATGTTTAATTGGAAGTCGGTAGTAAACAAGATACATCAAAGAGATTTAACCACGCCCACAACAAACGATACCGTCTGCTAGAAGTCTAATGCGGGGTCAAAGAAAATTCACGCACGGGGAAAATGTATACTACATAACATGAGGTCATTAGGTTACTTCAGCAACATTGTATAGTGATGTCATTAGATCACTTGCCCCACATTGTTAGATAAGGTTATTAGGTCACTGGAGCCCCATTAAAAGGGGAGGCCATTAAGTCACTTGAGCTAAATTATATGTTGAGGTCATTAGGTCACCTGAGCAACATTGTTAGATGAGGCTATTAGGTCACTCGAGCTCCATTGAAAGGGGAGGTAATTAAGTCACTTGAGCAAAATTATATGGGGAAGTCATTGTGTCACATGAGTCACATTGTATAATCAGATCATTAAGTCACTTGAGTCATATTGTATAGTCAGATCTTTTGGTCACTTTAGTAGCATTGAATAATTAGATCATTAAGTCACTTGAGTCACATTGTATAGTCAGATCATTAAGTCACTTGAGTCACATTGTATAGTCAGATCATTAAGTCACTTGAGTCACATTGTATAGTCAGATCATTAAATCACTTGAATAGCATTGTATAGTCAGATCATTAAGTCACCTGAGTAGCATTGTATAATCAGATGATTAATTCACTTGAGCTACATTGAATAGTCAGATCATTAAGTCACTTGAGTAGCATTGTATAGTCAGATCATTATGTCACTTGAGACACATTATATACTAAATTCATCAAGTCACTTGAGTAGCATTGTATAGTCTATCATTAAGTCATTTAAGTCACATCGTATAGTCAGAGCATTAATTCACTTGAGTCATATTGTATAGTCAGATCATTAAGTCACTTGAGTCACATTGTATCGTCATATCATTTAGTCACTTGAGTCACATTGTATAGCCAGATCATTAAGTCACTTGAGTCATATTGTATAGTTAGTTCATTAAGACACTTGAGTAGCATTGCCTAGTCAGATTATTAAGTCACATTTGTAGTATTGTATAGTCAGTTCATTAAGACACATGAGTAGTATTGTATAGTAAGATCATTAAGACACATGAGTAGTATTGTATAGTAAGATCATTAAGTCACATGAGTAGTATTGTATAGTAAGATTATTAAGTCACATGAGTAGTATTGTATAGTAAGATCATTAAGTCACATGAGTAGTATTGTATAGTAAGATTATTAAGTCACATGCGTAGTATTGTATAGTAAGATCATTAAGTCACATGAGTAGTATTGTATAGTAAGATTATTAAGTCACATGAGTAGTATTGTATAGTAAGATTATTAAGTCACATGAGTAGTATTGTATAGTAAGATCATTAAGTCACTAAAGTCTCATTGTCTGGGAAATTGAAATTTTTTACCATAGCAGGTCATTGTGTGTTGTTAAATAAGGTACTTTTTACCACAGAGAGTGCACAAGACCTACGAAACTTTAATAATTGTGATCATTATGGTGAGTGAGGTCATTGTGGTCACATAGACTGAAATATAAAAACAAGGTATGTTAAACTTGAATTAATAGACATGACAAAAGATTTGGAAATTTCGGCTTAGAGACATCAGCTAACAAGACAAATAGGTTCACAGAACATCTTCGGGATATTGAACAAGGTAAACTTTCCCCAGTTTATTCACACTTCAACAGATAGCACCATAAATGTGCATTAGATGTGTCCATTACGGTACTCGTTCCGTGCACAAACACACCAGAGAGAGTTAAAAGGCAAAACAAATTTTTCAACAGTTCGACACCATATCTTCACATTGTATGAATCAAATACTCTCTTACTAATGTTTCTCAATGTCCTTGTATTTCTTCTATTGTTTCTTATTCCTTAGATTTTATGTATCCCTATATATTTTCGTCCGTTAAGATTCTCTCCCTTTTTTTCACAGAACCAATATTTGTATTCTTTCACTTCCTGTAATCTTACTTCCGGCAAAAACAAATGAAATCTCTAAAGTTTTTTTACTGTGCTCTATGACTTGTCATACTTCTTTTGTCTTGTTTGCTGATGAAGGCTCTAGGCCGAAACATCCAAATCTTTTGTCCTGTCAATTAATTCAAGTTTAGATTACCTTGTTGTTATATTTTATTTAGACAACTTGAATGCAGTCAATCAATTATTACCCATGGACTGACCAGCTCCTGAAATAAATCCAACCTGTCATGTAAGCCGAATGTCATCCCCACCCCAAAAGGCAAACAAAAATGTCTTCCCCCGGAGAGTAGTTGCAGAATCAGGCAGAGTTACTTCCACCTTATCCCCACTTTGAGAGAAGAGTCAACACAGCAGTCCAGACAAAGTCACCCGAGCGAATAACCCCCAACCTTATGTTTTCAGTCGTCACATATGAAATCATATGACCCATGGGGGTACAGTATTCACAGGGGGTCGGTTCTGACCTGTCGATGGTATATCAGCAAGTTCTCTTTCTTTCGACGAACGTGTTTACAAACCTTTGTTCTATCATGGATGAGACAAGAAATATTGGATTATACTTATGACACCTTTTATTGTTTTACACAAACAATAAAAAATTATATATGCTATGTAATGGTCTCACTATAATGGAGTCCCATACTTTAAAGGTATTCTTTGTTGAACTAAAGTTCTTTCGTGTTTCCTTGTGATAAAATGTGTCATTACCTGTCGAACTATAAGCAATTCAGCAAATTCTTTATTTCCTTTTCTTTATAAATTGATGCAAACAAGATCATCTAGAGAAAGCGCAATACGTCATCCGTTGTGGCGAATGACGTCACTGAATGCATTCAGCAAGCTCACAACGCATATATTTATTTATTTACGTAGTGCTATTTCCTCAACTCCTGCCGTGCACCCAACGTCACAAGCTTGTGTCATTTCCTAGTGTCCTCCCTTTAATCAAGTTATGGAAACACCGGAAGTCGATGCGACGCGCGAGCTTATAAATAGGACTGCTTCATCTCCGTCTGATTTCCAGTCGTATGAAATACGTCCCTGTCATACTGAATAATTCAACCGGCCGCTGGTCGATAGGGAATAACCATCCACACCCCACCCTCGTGTTACAATGGGTTCGCTATCAAGGGATCGTCAAAATACACAGGGGGAGGGGGGGGGGCTCACGGAGTTCTATAAAATCCAACAATCAAATTTTGCTTCCTGCCAAGCTTTGATGAAAGTTGGTGACCTGAAAGAGTTGAGTGACCAAACAAATACTTGCTGAAGTGCAGTAGTCCTGAACATTTACCTTTATTTGAACTGTCAGGGAGCCAGTGAGTAGGGGTAGCAAAAGAACCAGCCAGTGAGTAGGGGTAGCAAAAGAGCCAGCCGGTGAGCAGTGAGTAGGGGTAGCAAAAGAGCCAGCCAGTGAGTAGGGGTAGCACAAGAGCCAGCCGGTGAGTAGGGGTAGCAAAGAGCCAGCCAGTGAGAGTCAGGGGGATAGTGAGTATGGGTAGCAAAAGAAACAGCCAGTGAGTAGGGGGAGCAAAAGAGCCAGCCGGTGAGCAGTGAGTAGGGGTAGCAAAAGAGCCAGCCAGTGAGTAGGGGTAGCACAAGAGCCAGCCGGTGAGTAGGGGTAGCAAAGAGCCAGCCAGTGAGTAGGGGTAGCAAAAGAGCCAGCCAGTAAGTAGGGGTAGCAAAAGAGCCAGCTAGCGCAAATTAGTATTATTTTTATTAGGTGGTTTTATATAGCGAAGTACCCCAGCCTATTGCCAGGCTCGCTGCGCTTCACATAAAAATTAGCAATTACAGAAACGTACGCATTTAAAACGAACAATTGGTGAAAGCTTGACCTCAACCACCTAACAGCTATCCACCCCTGTCTAGCCATGGACGGCAGCCAAGAGAATCGAGCGTTGTTTATCAGTAAGAGGGGGTGAGAATAAGTCGATATAGTACAGTTTGAAGAGATGGGTCTTGAAGGCAGTTTTGAAGGCTGTGATGGTCGTTATATTGCGGATGTGTAATGTGAGAGAATTCCATTGTTTGGGGGCACAGAACGAGAAAGATCGTTCACCATATGTTTTAGTGCGTGTTCTGGGAACAGAAAGAATGTGCGTGTCTGCTGACGAACGTAGGTTTCGAAGGGTTAGATAGACAGTAAGAAGTTCAGTAAGGTAGGACGGGCAGGAACCAGACAAAATGTTGTGACAGAGAACAGACAGTTTGTAATCAATGGGTGCCAATAAAGTGAGTGAAGTAGTGCAGTAACGAGATCCAGTTTCTTTGCCTTTAGAACTCACCAACAATTGAGTTTTGAACTTTCTGCAGTTTATCTATGAAATGTTTTGGTGAACCTGACAGAAGACAGTTAAAATAGTCAAGACGAGAGAGATTAAGAGCACAGACCATTGTTTTTGTTTCGCTGACTGATAGTGGCGGGCGGAGCTGATCTTATGGATCAGAGCGACAGATGTGAGAAATATAATTATTGAGAGACATGTTGTCAGAAAGAATGTGACCAAGATTCCTAGCAGAGGATGTGAACTATACATCGGAGCTAACTATATGAAACGAGATGGGGAGAGTTGAGTTAGAGGATGATTCATGATTTTGAATGAGGGGTGCTTCCGTTTTGTCATCGTTCAGCTTCAACTTGCTGAGTGTCATCCATGAATTAACATATAGGGGGGAAGTGTAATTTCGTTTTGTGGGCCGATAACTGATTATCGCTTTTTGGGGTTAAAACTAGACGTCACTAGGGTGGGGTCACCAGTGGCTGTAGGTTTTTCGCCTCCCACCCCCCCCCACGGTATCCGAAACGTCTCATATTTAACCGGATTTGAAAGAATCGCTTTTTTATTGTTTTTAAATGAAGTCCTAAAGTAAATTAGGACATAATAAGATACTATAGAACTTGAAGCAACAGCGTTGAAAAAATCCACCAAATTGACTTTTTTTTAAAAATATAAATCTTAACAGTTAAAACTTTACTTTTGTGATTTTCAAAGATGCACACCTGTCAATCACGTCATCAAACCTGTCAATCACATCATCAAACTTGTCAATCATATCATCAAACCTGTCAATCATATCATCAAACCTGTCAATCATATCATCAAACCTGTCAATCATATCATCAAACCTGTCAATCATATCATCAAACATGTTAATCATATCATTAAACCTGTCAATCACATCATCAAACCTGTCAATCATATCATCAAACATGTCAATCATATCATCAAAGTTAACATTCTTTACCGTATCACTTTCAATTGACAAAACGTAAGAGCTGAAAGACTGCACTGTGTAATATTTGATCACAAGAAGCTCTTTGATAATCCTCATAGTTTGAAAAGCTTCGCTTACATCTGCGGTTCTCAACAAGTGGGTCACAACCCTTTGTGGGTTGAACGACCCTTACATATATTAATGAAGTATGCAACACAAATAAGTTTATGGTTGGGGGTCACCACAAAATGGGGAAATTGTATTAAAGGGTCGCGGCGTTAGGAAGGTTGAGAACCACTGGCTTACATGAAGACACAGACTCATAATTCGTAAGAAAAAATAGTAGACTTAATTGGAGAATTGAAAGAACTTCTAGGGAGCCCCAATTATTTGTTTTGCGGCCCGTACACCCCCACACACTCACATACCATCTAGTGTCGCCACTAATTTAACAGTATCATTTGATAGCTAATTGGCGAGAGAATAAAGACAATAAATAACACAGTAAGATAGCAAACGTGACAACAGGGCAAACAATGATGATGACAGGACCGGTTAATGTTATAATCGGATATCTGAATGTGACAACAGGACAACTTAATGTAATAACTGGGCAACTTAATGAGATAACTGGGAAACTTAATGTGATAACTGGGGAACTTAATGTGGTAACTTGATGAGATAACTGGGCAATTTTATCTGATAACTGGGCAGATTAATGTTATAAGCAGATTGCTTAATGTGATAACCGGAAACATAATGTGATAACCGAGCGACTTAATGAAATGACCGGGCAGGTTAATGTGATAACCGGTCGATTTAATGTGATGACCGGGCATGTTAATGTGATAAACGGGTGACTTAGTATGATAACCAGGAACTTAATGTGATAACCAGGCAACTTAATGTGATAACCGAGTGACTTAATATGATAACCAGGAACTTAATGTGATAACCAGGCAACTTAATGAGATGACCGGGCAGTTAATGTGATAACCGGTCGATTTAATGTGATAACCAGGAACTTAATGTGATAACCGGCGACTTAAAGTGATAACCGGGCGTTATAATGTGATAACCGGTCGACTTAATGTGATAACCAGGAACTTAATGTGATAACCAGGCATTATAATGTGATACCCCCTCGACTTAATCTGATAACCAGGAACTTAATAAGATAACCGAGCAACATAATGTGATAACTGAGCGACTTAATGTGATAACCAGGAACTAAATGTTATAACCGAGCAAGTCAATGTGATAACCGAGCAAGTTAATGTGATAACCAGGAACTTAATGTGATAAACAAGCAACATAATGTGATAACCGGGTGACTTACTGTGATAACCGAGCAAGTTAATGTGATAACCGGGCAACTTAATGTGATAACCGACCAGGAACTTAATGTGATAACAGAGCAAGTTAATGTGATAACCGGGTGACTTAATGTGATAACCAAGAACTTAATGTGATAACCGAGTAATTTAATGTGATAAACAAGCAAGTTAATGTGATAACTGAGCAAAGTAATGTGATATCCAAGCAAGTTAATGTGATAACAGAGAAAGTTAATCTGATAACCAAGCAAGTTAATCTGATAACCAGGAACATAATGTGATAACCGAGCAAGTTAATGTGATAACCGGGCGACTTAAAGTGATAACCAGGAACTTAATGTGATAACCGAGCAAGTTAATGTGATAACCGAGCAAGTTAATGTGATAATCGAGCAAGTTAATGTGATAACCAGGAACTTAATGAGATAACCGAGCAATTTAATGTGATCACCATGAACTTAATGTGATAACAGAGCAAGTTAATGTGATAACCGAGCAAGTTAATTTTATAACCTAGCAAGTCAATGTGATAACCAAGGAAGTTAATGTGATAACCAAGCAAGTTAATGTGATAACTGAGAAAATTAATGTCATTTCCAAGCAAGTTAATGTGGTAACCAAGCAAGTTAAGGTGATAACCATGCAAGTTAATGTGATAACCAAGGAAGTTAATGTGATAACCAAGCAAGTTAATGTGATAACTGAGAAAATTAATGTGATTTCCAAGCAAGTTAATGTGGTAACCAAGCAAGTTAAGGTGATAACCATGCAAGTTAATGTGATAACCATGCAAGTTAAGGTGATAACCATGCAAATTAATGTGATAACCATGCAAGTTAATGGGATAACCAAGCAAGTTAATGTGGTAACCAAGCAAGATAATGTGATAACTGGACAAATTAATGTGATAACTTGAAAACTTATTGTGATGACTGTACAACTTAATGCGATAACTGGACAACTTAATGCGATAACTGGACAACTTAATGTGATAACTTGAAAACTTAATGTGATAACTGGACAACTTAATGTGATAATCAAAGAGGGTGTGTTCGGTTAAATGATTAAAGTAAACGAATGAGTGTAAATGTATAAAAAGTATCAAATGTCTAAAAGACCAAAAAGGTCAGGTAGACCTTGTCTGATGTTTGCTGGGATAACGTTGACCACAACTGTTTAGTTCCATTCCATGAGTTGTAATGTGTTTATTACATGTTCGATAAATACATTTGTGCTCTGTGTTCCAATTATTGCTTTATATCCATTGCAATAACGATACAGTGCATAGAGGCAAACATTAAATAAATGTTATGTTGAAACAGGGTAAGCAACTCTTTGTTCAATTCTACTTTTTTTTAGTAGCAAACATTATTAATATCTCATGGGACCGTCTGATAGAAATTTGACGATTGGTTGTTTATTTCAAACATGCAGCAAATCAAAATTACATTCGCAAACTTAAATTTGCAGGAGAATATATGCAACCGACTCCCCCGGAATTGAATTCCTCCCCCCCCCCAATCATTATCCGTAATGCTACAGTCAATGTACGGCCCTGGCCTGCTCCATCACATCCTTCATGTAGGGCCCTGGCCTGCTCAATCACATCCTTCATGTACCGCCCTGGCCAGCTCCATCACATCCTTCATGTACGGCCCTGGCCTGCTCCATCACATCCTTCATGTAGTGCCCTGGCCTGCTCCATCACATCCTTCATGTACGGCCCTGGCCTGCTCCATCACATCCTTCATGTAGGGTCCTGGCCTTCTCAATCACATCCTTCATGTAGTGCCCTGGCCTGCTCCATCACATCCTTCATGTACGGCCCTGGCCTGCTCAATCACATCCTTCATGTACGGCCCTGGCCTGCTCCATCACATCCATCATGTACGGCCCTGGCCCGCTCCATCACATCCTCCATGTAGTGCCCTGGCCTGGTCCATCACATCCTCCATGTAGGGCCCTGGCCTGCTCCATCACATCCTCCATGTAGGGCCCTGGCCTGCTCCATCATATCCTTCATGTAGGGCCCTGGCCTGCTCCATCACATCCTTCATGTAGGGCCCTGGCCTGCTCCACCACATCCTTCATGTAGGGCCCTGGCCTGCTCCGTCACATCCTTCATGTAGGGCCCTGGCCTGCTCCATCACATCCTTCATGTAGGGCCCTGGCCTGCTCCATCACATCCTCCATGTAGGGTTCGGGCCTGCTCCATCACATCCTTAATGTAGGGCCCTGGCCTGCTCCATCATATCCCCCATGTAGGGCCCTGGGATGCTCCGTCACATCCTTCATGTAGTGCCCTGGCCTGCTCCATCACATCAATTCATGTAGAGCCCTGGCCTGCTCCATCACATCCTTCAACGACTTGGAGGTTGTGAGATGTCACCAACGACTTGGAGGGTGTGAGATGTCGCAAACGACTTGGAGGGTGTGAGATGTTACCAACGACTTGGAGGGTGTGAGATGTCACCAACGACTTGGAGGGTGTGAGATGTAGCCAACCACTTGGAGGGTGTGAGATGTAGCCAACGACTTGGAGGGTGTGAGATGTCAGCAACGACTTGATGGGTGTGAGATTTCACCAACGGCTTGGAGGGTGTGAGATGTAGCCAACGACTTGGAGGGTGGGATATGTCACCAACGACTTGGAGGGTGTGAGATGTCACCAACGACTTGGAGGGTGTGAGATGTCACCAACGACTTGGAGGGTGTGAGATGTCACCAACGACTTGGAGGGTGTGAGATGTCACCTACGACTTGGAGGGTGTGAGATGTCACCAACGACTTGGAGGGTGTGAGATGTCACCAACGACTTGGAGGGTGTGAGATGTAGCCAACCACTTGAAGGGTCTGAGATGTAGCCAATGACTTTGAGGGTATGAGATGTCGCCAACGGCTTGGAGGGTGTGAGATGTCGCCAACGGCTTGGAGGGTGTGACATGTCGCCAACGGCTTGGAGGGTGTGAGATGTCACCAACGACTTGGAGGGTGTGAGATGTAGCCAACGACTTGGAGGGTGTGAGATGTCACCAACGAGTTGGAGGGTGTGAGATGTAGCCAACGACTTGGAGGGTGTGAGATGTCACCAACGACTTGGAGGGTGTGAGATGTAGCCAACGACTTGGAGGGTGTGAGATGTAGCCAACGACTTGGAGGGTGTGAGATGTAGCCAACGGCTTGGAGGGTGTGAGATTTCACAAACGGCTTGGAGGGTGTGAGATGTAGCCAACCACTTGGAGGGTAGGAGATGTAGTCAACGACTATGAGGGTGTGAGATGTGGCCAACGGCTTGGAGGGTGTGAGATGTAGCCAACCACTTTGAGGGTGGGAGATGTAGCCAACCACTTGGAGGGTGTGAGATGTCACCAACGGCTTGGAGGGTGTGAGATGTAGCCAACGACTTGGAGGGTGTGAGATGTAGCCAACGACTTGGAGGGTGTGAGATGTCACCAACGACTTGGAGGTTGTGAGATGTCACCAACGACTTGGAGGGTGTGAGATGTCACCAACGACTTGGAGGGTGTGAGATGTCACCAACGACTTGGAGAGTGTGAGATGTCACCAACGACTTGGAGGGTGTGAGATGTCGCCAACAACTTGGAGGGTGTGAGATGTCACCAACGACATGGAGGGTGTGAGATGTCACCAACGACTTGGAAGGTGTGAGATGTCACCAACGACTTGGAGGGTGTGAGATGTTACCAACGACTTGGAGGATGTGAGATGTCACCAACGACTTGGAGGGTGTGAGATGTAGCCAACCACTTGGAGGGTGTGAGATGTAGCCAACGACTTGGAGGGTGTGAGATGTCACCAACGACTTGGAGGGTGTGAGATGTCACCAACGACTTGGAGGGTGTGAGATGTCACCAACGACTTGGAGGGTGTGAGATGTCACCAACGACTTGGAGGGTGTGAGATGTCACCATCGACTTGGAGGGTGTGAGATGTAGCCAACGACTTGGAGGGTATGAGATGTAGCCAACGACTTGGAGGGTGTGAGATGTAGCCAACGGCTTTGAGGGTGTCAGATGTCAACAACGGCTTGGATGGTGTGAGATGTAGCCAACCACTTGGAGGGTGGGAGATGTAGCCAACGACTTGGAGGGTGTGAGATGTGGCCAACGACTTTGAGGGTGTGAGATGTAGCCAACGACTTGGAGGGTGTGAGATGTCGCCAACGACTTGGATGGTGTGAGATGTCGCTAACGACTTGGAGGGTGTGAGATGTCACCAACGACATGGAGGGTGTGAGATGTAGCCAACGACTTTGAGGGTGTGAGATGTCGCCAACGACTTGGAGGGTGTGAGATGTCGCCAACGACTTGGAGGGTGTGAGAGGTAGCCAACGACTTTGAGGGTGTGAGATGTAGCCAACCACTTGGAGGGTGTGAGATGTAGCCAACGACTTGGAGGGTGTGAGATGTCGCCAACGACTTGGAGGGTGTGAGAGGTAGCCAAAGACTTTGCGGGTGTGAGATGTCACCAATGACTTGGAGGGTGTGTGATGTAGCCAACGACTTGGAGGGTGTGAGATGTCAGCAACGACTTGGAGGGTGTGAGATGTCGCCAACGACTTGGAGGGTGTGAGATGTCTCAAACGACTTGGAGGGAGTGAGATGTAGCCAACGACTTTGAGGGTGTGAGATGTAGCCAACGACTTGGAGGGTGTGAGATGTCAGCAACGACTTGGAGGGTGTGAGATGTCGCCAACGACTTGGAGGGTGTGAGATGTCTCAAACGACTTGGAGGGAGTGAGATGTGGCCAACGACTTTGAGGGTGTGAGATGTCGCCAAAGACTTTGAGGGTGTGAGATGTAGCCAACGACTTGGAGGATGTAAGATGTAGCCAACGACTTTGAGGGTGTAAGATGTAGCCAACGACTTTGAGGGTGTGAGATGTAGCCAACGACATTGAGGGTGTGAGATGTAGCAAACGACTTTGAGGGTGTGAGATGTCACCAACGACTTGGAGGGTGTGAGATGTCACCAACGACTTGGAGGGTGTGAGATGTCACCAACGACTTGGAGGGTGTGAGATGTAGCCAACCACTTGGAGTGTGTGAGATGTCGCCAACGGCTTGCGTTAATAGCGGATATAATTTTTGTTCAATCTTTCTATCAAATGCGAGTTTAAAAGCACTTTTTAAAAAACAAATTAAAAATGTATTTAAAAGCATTACATAAAGTGTGTGCAGAACTGTATATGAACACTCTACGAAGCCAAAGGATTCGAATTAAAATTAAATGTGCATGTAGTTAATATATTTTTTTTTTATTTTTGAAAATATTTTCTTCACAGATTCTCTTCAGAATTTTTAAATCACGTTCTAGTTTTTAGTGTGTTTAAATCTCCTATTTAAAAGAAAGTTTCTTTTAACATGTTTTTAACTTTCTAATTGTTAGTATTAAAATTGGTATCTTTCGATTATCGAAAAAAGTGTTGTTTTTTTTTTAAATTTTACCTTTTAAACACAGAATGCCTACAAATGCCGGTTGCCTACAAATGCCGGTTGCCTACAAATGCCGGTTGCCTACAAAAGCCCGGTAAACGTGGTATAAAACTAAGAAGTAAAATTTAACGGCTGCTGCTGCTGCTGCGTTTACGTCCCTGGTCGCGAGCCGTCTGTTATTCATTTCTAATTTGTCGTATGCCCTGCCCAGGGTCGGCACTAGGAGGGTGCGGGGCCTTGTGAAAATTGAATTTTTCGGGGCAGTTGTTGTTATATATTCCGCTGATAGGATATTAAGACACGCTATTATCGTACTGGGGCCTTGCTGGTCATATTCGGACTCGTGATAACGGATAATTGTTAGTATGGGAGGTAGAATGACCTTCAGACCATTTGACTAATAAATCCGAATATGGTGTTGACTGGATTAGGAACTATTAGTTGGCTTAGGTATATTAGAAACATACTACGGCGGTCACACACTTCGCCATCCCCTAGCGCCGGTCCTGCCCCTAATTCCTTCCGAACCATCCCTCCCCAAAATCCTACATCTCTTTCTGGATCTCCCCTACCCAGCGTTCTCACGCCGTTCTCTGAACGAAGCAGACGCGATCAACCACGATGAACTGAGCGAGTGGGTCACGTGTGCCAACAACAAAATTAAGCCACAGCGTTACAAACTCACATCAGCATGTATCGGTGAGGATTAAAAAAGGAAGTTTGCATTTTTATCGAGGCTCTGTAAGATTCAGGTGTTTGCTTATAAAGTCACGTTCAACCTTCTTGGCTAGTTTGGGAATCCCTGTATTTTCAAAGTTTTGGGTTTTAGTCATTCTAGTAGTTGGAGATTTCTTTCTGAATAAAATAAAGACAAATGAGGAAAAACTTATTGAAACCAGCGGTTCTTATTACAAAAAGATGTTACAGTAGTGTGTTGTGGAATTTTTTTTAACTAGATATGGTCGGCAATTTTTTTTTAATTTATTTGACTTTTAACTGTTGACTAAACCTGAGAGAATGTTTGTTTCCTGGGGCTTTATGAGCGTCTTGTTCATCTGTTCATCTGTTCATCTGATCCTTTGTTCATTTTTTGTATCTTGCAGCTCCGTAACGGGATACAGCCATTGTGCTACGAATATGGCGCCGAAGTTCGAACAACGAATCAAGATCCGGACTTCATCCCACGTGCCTGCTGTCCAGGGTTAAAGTTCAAGGTCGTCTTGAACCAATGGTACGCCGCCATGGTGGTCAAGTGCGTCGAGGAGGACGAGGCTGACGACGACTACTCTTGATGAACAGTGTTGTGATAATGAATGTGATGTTGTGGGGGGAAAAAAGTATGTGATGTTGTGGAATTAAGCTGTGGGTGAGGTATGGTTGAAACAATTGGGCGATGTCAGAAAGATATCGAAATATGAAAGATATCGTTGGCATTATCTCCAATAGTACATAAATAACACAAAAATATTAAATGAGTGAATCAGGAGTAACACACATTCCTACATACTGTGGATAATTCATCCCAATTTTATCGGGGGTAAACTATTTTTAAGAACATGTTATATTATGTCCACAAATGAGAATCTTTGTTTTTTAATCCTGGTATGTGTATGTGTCTGTGTGAAGCTGTCACTGTAATTGTATGAGTATAACTCAGTCCAGGATTTGGGCAATTGGGGATGGAGGGGGGAGGGCACTGGCACCTCCAATGATGGATGTGAAAAGCGGACGATTATGTCCACACGTTCGAGCCAGAGGTAACGGAGACTGGGGAGGCGCCTATGTTCTCATGGCCCTATGGATAATCTTGTCTCGTTTTGATGACTTCTGTAGCAGAAATAAACTGCAAATAGATTTATAGAAAAATTTTTAGTTATTCTGCTTTGCAATAAAATTATCGAGGCAAATCTAAATAAAAACAATGCAACAATAACTTCATATTGAACAAGAAATGTTCGTCTGTACATTTCTTTTTTGTGCAAGGAAAACAGCCACTAATTAACTCGTTTGGCATAAATTTGGACTCCTTTCCTCCAAACACACATACAATTTTCCACTTCCAATAAACCCTTCATCGTTTCAATATTAAACTTTAATAAGGAAAACTATGTTTCAAAGGGCACATTTTTGTTGTAGCCTGACTGTTCAAATTTAGTTCAGATCTATTGTATTTGCCATGAACAATTTGTAAATGTCCCTCTGGAGACAGCATCAGCTCCTGGATTCAGCCTTGTTGTTTCTTTTAATTTCATACATAACAACAAATTGTTAACAAATACGTTTATATTTAACTTATAGCACAATTGCTATATGGTAAGTCGGACTTTGTGACTAGGCTACAGAACAACTCGATAATTGTGCTTTTCATTTTCTATGAAACTTCTTTTATTTTGAAATGTCATGTAACTTTAAATATCTGGTATAAATCTGAAATATCATTTATTTTTTACTGTTTCGCATTTTAAAATGTGATTCATTTTGAAATGTCATGTGTTTTTGAAATTTCATGTATTTTGAAATGTCATGTATTTCGTTATGTAACATATTTTTAAATGTCATATATTTGTAATGCCTGTATTTTGAAATGTCATCATTAGTGTTATGTCACCTGTTTCGGCCCCAGTAACAAATGTAAACTTATTGCTTTATAATTAACATCTATTATTTATTGTCAAGACATTCTAACCTGTTAACTTGTTCTAAATCCGTCTCTCTTCTATTAAAAGAACAAACCAAATATATAACTTGGAATATATTGCTTGAGTAACTTCTAAGGTTACTCATCTATTAAGTGTTTTTACAAGCCAAACAAATACATGCGATATAAAGCCGTGGAAGTACCTCAAAGTAAATGCAATTGGCAGGATAGTTACACCACTTTGGTCATATTTGTTTAGGCAAAAGACATGGCCATCAATTGGTGCTACAACCCATTTTTCCCGGGTGCTCCATCACATACTTCCCTTCAGACCCATACAGCGCACGTCTCATGGCTCTGGCCTGCTCCACCACATACTTCCATTCAGACCCATACATCCCATGTCTCATGGCTCTGGCCTGCTCCACCACATACTTCCATTCAGACCCATACATCCCATGTCTCATGGCTCTGGCCTGCTCCACCACATACTTCCCTTCAGACCCATACATCCCATGTCTCATGGCTCTGGCCTGCTCCATCACATACTTCCCTTCAGACCGATCCATGGCTTTTCGTTCCATGTTCGGATCCCCAGCTGATGTACATCCGTCTCCCTAGCGACAATCCATCCCAATCTTGGTGGACCCTCTAGCCGTCTGCTCATTGGATTCGACGTGTGCTCTAAATGATGCTTCTTATTTTAACATATTATTCATTTAGATCAACTATCTTTTTTTCGTATCCTCGTGTCCTTGATAAGTAGTTTGTACAAGTCTAGAGCAACGTTCCCCAAATGGTGGTCAGCGGATCGGTCCGTGAGTCTTGCGTTGTCGGTCCGCACAACAATAGTCAAGCAATTGAGGAACAAATCTCCATGTTGAAGTGTAGCTCTAAACAAAGGTCAAAGATCGCCCCTGTCACTGTCATGTACAACAACATTCTCAGCGTTGTGAAACGTGTACTTGTACGCAGGAACATGAAGAGGAGCGCGGGAGCTGACGTGTCCCAGATAAAAGTTTACTTTACACAATAGACGGACAAACCAATTTAATAAACATTGTTTATAAAGCAATGTTTCGCGGGGGGGGGGGTAGTAGTTTGATGCCAGATCAAACACATAACAGTTGGCATGGCAACTGCATCAACGTGACCTAAGGGGAAAGCACTAATGTACCGTACTTTTCTTTAAAGTTTGAATGGCTTATTTGAACGCTAGACACCTTGTAACTGTGCCATAACCTCAGTGTGTAATCGTGTAGTGATTTACTGTGTATGAGGCCATGAAGCCCTCAAAACTCGTAAGCCTCATTTAGAATGCTATAACAGTAAGCTAAAAAAACCAGACACAATCGTTTTGAGGCTCATCACGAGATGTATTCAAGATGTGTGCTGAAATGTGTTCGGTGAGCCGGCAGCAAGGAAAGTTGCCCTGGGGCCTATCTCTAAAAACATTATAGTTCAACGTAATGGCTCTCTGACTCATGATACGTAAGATCAGCTGATAGATCGGATTAAAATAGCATAATACTTTTGTTTACGGCAGATTGAAAGAACAAGTGCTGTCAACATGGCAAAATTCTTATGGTGTATTTAAAATGTCAAAATAAAGTTGACATGAAGGAAGAGTATTTGAAACACCACTGGTTCTGCAATATTCTAAGTACTCACTGAGGACATCGTTGGCAAATGCTGCCTGGATTTCAGATTTGGTCTTGGTGTGCATTCCGAGTGTGCAGTGGCCATGACTGGGAGGTGGTTGGTGGCGGTTGCACAAATTAAAGTGATAACTACTTGAATGCAAGTCAACCACGACAGTCTCGCGACCAATAAAGTGTCTAAGAAATTAACAGAGTGCTCAGTCAAGTTATAAAATTGTTAACTACGAAACGGGTCATAATTGACCACTGGGCGGACTTAACTGACCACTGGGCGGACTTAACTGACCACTGGGCGGACTTAACTGACCACTGGGCGGACTTAACTGACCACTGGGCGGACTTAACTGACCACTGGGCGGACTTAACTGACTTCTGGGTGGACTTAACTGACCACTGGGCGTACTTACCTGACCACTGGGCGGACTTAACTGACCACTGGGCGGACTTAACTGACGACTGGGCGTACTTACCTGACCACTGGGCGGACTTAACTGACCACTGGGCGGACTTAACTGACCACTGGGCGGACTTAACTGACCACTGGGCGGACTTAACTGACCACTAGGCGGACTTAATTGACCGAGTTTCACTTTCCAAAAAAAGACGATGCACGGATAGGAACTGGGTGGATCTGAAATCCATTTAAAGCAACAACAGTGGATTAGAATGTCACTCTAGCTGCTAGCCAAGAGTTGTAGATGGTTGTCATCAACATGACGTCACTAGCATTAAAATAAAATTATTTGCATTAATTTCAGATTATCCTGAACTTGCTGAAAACGCTTTCTTCTCCCATCTACTTTAACATACGTTTGCGAATCTGACCTTTCGTTCATGAGACTTATTAGGACAGGACAGGAACAGAATGGATATTCGTTGTCCTTTACGGACAAAAAAATATATATTTTATGACAAATAAAAAAAGAGCAATAATTTAATAAATCTGGCTCCAGTACATGGTGAAATGGCAAACGTGTCCATGAGTCTTCCAAACGTAAAAGTTTGAGAAACGCTGGTTTAGAGTATAGGTAAAAGTTGATAATAAGTGTTTGTGTGTAATAGTTGACAATAAGTGTGTGTGTTTGTGTGAAGGGTGTTGACGGTCTGTTATATTAGTATGGTACAACACGTCATGATGTATTGCTTGTATCAAAGACCAACGTTATAATACACAATTGTAACGATAATAAAGTGTCCTTTTACAAAATATGGTGTCATTTTTATAAATGTCGGACGTTGATCGCTTCCTTTCTCTATTTTATTCTCACTATCCTCCACATTCACTCTCTCTCTCTCTCGTTCTCTCTCTCTCTCTCTCTCTATCTCTCTCTCTTTCTCTCGCTCTTTCTCTCGCTCTTTCTCTCGCTCTTTCTCTCGCTCTTTCTCTCGCTCTTTCTCTCGCTCTTTCTCTCAATCTATCATTTATTTATCTATATATATATATATATATCGATCTATCTATCTATCTATCGATTGATCAATCTATCTATAAGTATCTCTCTCACTATCTCTATATCTCTCTCTCATTAAATCTCTCTCTCTCACTATCTCTATCTCACGCTATTTCTCTCTCATTTCTTTTCTCTTTCTTTCATCACAAAATCTCTAATATCTCCGTTCTTCCTTTCTTTTTCCATTTCAAATTATCTATATCTTTCTCACAATTTTCAAATTTCCGCCTATTTATTTTACTCAATCATTCCCTCTGTCCATCATTCACTCTGCCCATCAATCACTCTGCCCATCAATCACTCTGTCCATCATTCACTCTGTCCATCAATCACTCTGTCCATCATTCACTCTGTCCAATCACTCTCTCCATCATTCACTCTGTCCATCAATCACTCTGTCCATCATTCACTCTGTCCATCAATCACTCTGTCCATCATTCACTCTGTCCATCAATCACTCTGTCCATCATTCACTCTGTCCATCATTCGCTCTGTCCATCAAGCACTCAGACCTAATTTGATATCTGGTCAAAAAGCCACAAGCTGTGTGGAAGCACCAAGCAGGTAAACTAGTAGTTCTAACTAACGACTTCAGTGACGAGGAAAAGCAGCGAAGCTTGATGATGGTGCCCCTCTATAGAAAAAAGCACCGACTGGGACAATATAGTGTACAAACGACTTTGTTTATATCAAATGGGCTTGTACAAAGTTAAACTGGTACATATATCAGGAATTGGTTTGAATATGAGAAGATTTACGAAAAAAACAGAGGATGATTCGGACAATGGCGCAACAACTGCACCTTTTTTTCGAGTGGAAAGCATCAAATCCATCACGTGACTTGGTATAGCCTCGTTGCCAAATGTTTACCGGTTGAGCTTTAACGCACTGAGCTCCAAAAAAATTAATCGAACGACTAGCCATAAAATTTTAATTGCTTTTCATGAAATACCATTCAGGTAGCACGGTAGCACAATTGATTTTGTTATGGATCTCCAAA